AATATAGTGCAAAATATGGAGATGCCGTCATTACTTTTTTTCACCATGTTTCTTTTTTATTATTTATGTACAGCCTTGCTAAATCTTGCTAAGCATTCAAAAGAGAGAATGTTTGCACCTGTTATCTATATTTTCAAATCGTTTTTTGAGTATCTTCCACTATTCATAATTCTACAACATTTTAACAGTCTATAGCCAAGAATCTTTGGATAATAAAAAGCAAAAAAAAAAAATCACTCCCAAGTGCCCACAAACCTGCATCTCTACCTTAAATAGCTACATGTCATTTTCGCGAATTTGACTCCATGCATGAATTAACTGAATCTTAATTTAGCTAAAGCGCCAAAAATCCAATTGCGAGAATATACTTTATTTTAAATTAGTGACATCTTGGATTAGCGAAATTACAGAGTAGCTAAATTAGCTAAAATAACATGCTAGCTACAAAGACATGTTTTACAGTTTGTGTTTTTTGTTTGTTTTATTCCTCGACACTAAATCCGAAATGTAAAGACATGATTAGACACTTTGATTAATTATCATCACCATGCTATGTTTAAAATAAAATACTAACAATATTTCGATGTTATGTTGATGTAACACAACGCAGTATGGTCTCAACCAAATACGCGCGTCTTGTCACGTTGTTAGCCCGTGCCACATAAGAGATAATGTGCGAATGGGGGCGCGCTATGGGTTTCTGGTTTCTAACAATACATTTTTGTATCAACAATTTTGCAATTATTTCTTTTGTATGATGCCACACACCACAGAAATATTTTCAAAAATTAGTCCAAAATAAATAATGACGGCGAATCAATTTCATCATCATCCAACTTGCCAACTCGCATTGTTTCTCGAAGTCGATATAAACTTCAGACAACTAATAACTAGTTATCTGAGTGTAAACGTACTCCCCAGTAGTAATGAGGCACCCTCTAGCGATGAGTTGCTTTCGTGACGTAAAAGGTGACAAGAAAGTTGTTCACATTTTTGGTATATCATCTCTCCATACAATCTTCGAAATGACGAACGACAACAGAAGCGACTGGTCGATAGATGGCGCTGTGTCACTCCATTCTGCATTTTCAGACATGAGCAATTTATATAAAAGCAAATATCCAGGGAACGAATATTTGACGAGTATCTGCCTAAATGTTCATCCAACTGCTCATACGGATTATAATAATGGACTCAAACAAAGTTGTCGATTAGTAAAGCTTCGTAGTCAGTCGAAAGCTGGCTTTTTCGCCAAAAAATTACACTGACACAAAGGGTTTTCGAGTGGGCGACACGCCTCTCACATTTTTTTCGAGGGGCACCCTGATTTAGACTAGTCATCATTAATCGTTAAAGAATAGATATAATCCAATACAGTTGTAGAGGGTAGTGGATTAGGGGTATGTCAACATTTTTGAGTCTGGGAGGGGATAGCTGAAAATTATTGAGAGTTACATAGAAGCATTTGCATTTTCTGTTTTCATATCAATTGTGAAAACCTGTGTACAGAAGCTAATAAATATGAACAAAAAACTATTATGGTTAAAATGATTTTTTGCTATCTAGTTCTAAAATAGAAAATCGTTAAAAAAATGAAAAATCATGTTGTAAGAATAATATCTTACACCGTAATGAATAATGATAGTTCATCTTAAAGTGATAAGGTATATAAAAGTAGAAAAGGAACAATAAAGACAGCAAATACACTTCTGTTTTACCTAATTGAAGTTTCTAAACATATGAATATGCAGATGGTAGATCTTGACCTATACTACTTCCACTATGTGGGAAACGATACCTAATTCATTGTAAACATATGACAGTGTACTATACTTGGTTAAAACCATTTCAAGACAAATATATGTGGGACTCATCCTCAACTGAAAAATATAAAACAGCTCTACAAAATCCATCTATCAGCTCAAAAATAACCCAATACTTGCACATGAATTACATGACGGGTGATATTGATGATGCTGTCTTGGGGTTGAATGAGATTATTTACAGTGCAGCTGACCTATCATTAAAAACGGGTCCCAATAATAAGAAAAATATGAAAAAGAATTTAAAAAAGGTCAGAAAATAAAAAGTGGTATGATAAGTCATGTTATATTTTAAGACGTGAGGTTATTGGTATGGGTAAGCTTCTAACTAAGTACCCCAGGGAACCCTATGTTAGAAATAGATATTTCCAGTTGAAGAAAGATTATAAAAAATTAGTTAAACGCAAAAATGGGATTATAAAGAGGAACTTCTAAAAAAAAATTATAGAAGTTGAGAAAAATGATCTTGAGGAATAGTTAAAAACTAATAGTGCATTACACTCCAATAGTGATATCAGTAATAGTATTTGTGTAGAAGAATGGGTGAAACATTTCTCAAATCAAAATGTTAAGTACTGCAATGACAGCTCATTAGATACAGAAATAAATGAGTTGGAAAATAATGCAACTAACAATGAATTAAATAATAATATTAGTACAGATGAAATTATTAAGGCTATTAAACAGCTTAAAAAGAAAAAAAATCCGCTGGAAAAGATAGAATCATAAATGAAATGATTATTTATGGACAACCAGTTCTGTTAGAGCCAATTAAAAAATTGTTCAATGATATTTTTAATGCAAACAAGTTTCTGGATAGTTGGCGTACTAGTACCATTAAACCTATTATTAAATCGGGTGATAGAAATAACCCAAATAATTATAGAGGGATAGCTCTTTCAAGCTGTTTAGCCAAATTATTTACATCTGTACTAAACAAACGTTTGCATAAATATGTGGAGGCAAACAATATTCTGAGTCCTTCTCAAACTGGATTTAGGCCTGGGTACAGAAAAACTGATAACATGTTTATTCTTGAAACTGCCATTGACAAATATTTCAATACTGAGAATAAAAAAAGGGTGGTAAACTATTGGTTGGTTTTGTAAATCTTAAAAAAGCCTTTGATAGTGTATGGCGTAAAGGGCTTTATTATAAAATGCTGAAAAACAATATCAATGGTAAATTATATAATGTAATTAAAAATATGTATGAAGATGTCAACTATGACATAAAACTAAATAATGGTATTACCAAACAGTTTAAATCACTCAGAGGTGTCAGACAAGGTTGTAACATTAGCCCCATCTTGTTCAATCTTTTCTTAAATGATTTCCCAGATAAATTGGATGAGACATGTCAGCCTGTTAAAATTGGAAAGTCATCAATAAGTAGCCTACTTTATGCAGATGACTTAGTATTACTCTCTGAAACAGAGGAAGGGTTACAAAATTGTTTTACTAAGCTACATTCCTATTGCACTGATTGGAATTTGGAAGTAAACATTTTCAAAACCAAAGTAATCGTCTTTAACAAAAATGGCAGGTTGCTCAATCATAAATACAATTTGTATTATAATAATATAGAAATTGATATTGTCAGTAGTTATAAATATTTAGGTTAAGCCAAATGGAAAGTTTGATTTGGCAAAAGAAAATTTATATAAAAAGGCAGTCAAAGCATTTTTCTTTATTAAAAAATCTCTTAGTGGGTCTACCAAAATTAATATAAAAACTTGGCTGAATGTCTTTGATCATGTTATATTAACATATATTGATATATATTATCATGTATTAGTTTTCTTGTCTTGGATTGTATTATCCTATGTATATTCCGGAGAATTTTATGTGTTTCAATAAATTTCTGACAAGACACAATAATTTGAATAAACAACTTCAGTTGACTGGCGGTGATTCATCTATAGTTTAAGAAACGTTTTCAATATCTCGAGTTCAAAGATTTTTTTATTTGAACGGATCGTGTTTTACTGTTTTTCCCGTACAATAACTCCGCATTCCGCGAACAGTCTCGTTTATCTAAAACAAATTGGTTCCAAATTTGCATATGACCTTGCATAGAAATCGTCGTCACATAAGTAGGCTAGAAAAAAATCCGTGTTTTACTTTCATAAACTTAGAGGGTCATAAACATGTGGATCAAAATGGCGGTTCGAAAGTTACGTTCACACGACTGGAGGGGAATTCCATGAATTTACTAACTTGTGTCAAATTTTGGCAATAGTTTCAGTTTCATATGTGCTAAAAAGTACAACTGTATACCATCTAAGCAATAGAGGACGTTGAACAGTCAATGCAGTTCGTTATTTTTTTTTTTTTTTTTTCACGTTGGTCGCTTTATACCGTCACCACCGTTGGCCACGTACAGTTACCGGTATGTATGTTTTTCAATCACTGATATTTTAATTGTCGTGTCGTCGTCTAGATTTCATTTTGTACAGGGTATTGTGACATACCGTTCACTTGCCAGTTCCATGCCTGGGCGAGAAAATTACACTTCCTGCAGTTGACAATTTATTTCACTCTGAGAATGCAAATTTTCACTAATTAATTGGCGACATTTTTAATTTAAAAAAAATAGAGCAACTGATTAAAATAAAATCGTAAAAATGCTAAAACCCAATAATAATCGAATAAAAATCAAACCCAAATGTCTCAGCAGACTTCTAGCCATTCACTGCTGCATAGATGTTTGTATCTTGCTATTTGTAAAAGTAACTTTCTCTATTTTAAACTGTATGACTTCTGATTTATGGTATCAACAAAAAATGCCATCAATCATTAAGTGCATTCTACATTTTCTTTAAATTTACCCTCACTATCTGAGAGCAAAATGCTGTCATCAGTATGCCGCAAACATTTGCTTCGATAATTAAGTTTAATACTAACATTCCTGTGAACCTACCACGAATAGGGTTTTTGTGTGGGATTGGTCATTTCTAGCTGTTTGTTTCTATGTTTTTGTTTTTTTACTGTTACTTTCAAAATGGTTGACTAGCGGGAAATACTTACTCTCTTACTTCCTTACTCCCATGTACATGTAATTTATTTCATGTTCAGATCAAAAATAGTTGAATCCATTTCAGTTTTGTTAAATATATAACTAACAGGGAATCTGTCATGTCATGACATGACTTGTTTTCATGTTGCAGACACAAAATGAAGATAGTCCATTTTTGATAAAGACACACAGTGGAACCATTCCCTATGTTCAGACTGCCATCTCAGTTTATTTTGGGAGAAAACTGACCATAAAAGTACAATATAATGGAGGCTTCAGTACTCAATAATAATTCATGTTCTGAAAGTGACCCGCAAACCATCCTGGATGTGAGTATACTGTGTTTACTTTCAGCTTTTATGGTATCTATCATGTGTAACACCACAGTCACTCTACCTAGTAGACTCTACCTAGTAGACTCTGCCTAGTAGACTCTGCCTAGTAGACTCTGCCTAGTAGACTCTGCCTAGTAGACTCTGCCTAGTAGACTCTACCTAGTAGACTCTACCTAGTAGACTCTGCCTTGTAGACTCTGCCTAGTAGACTCTACCTAGTAGACTCTACCTAGTAGACTCTACCTAGTAGACTCTACCTAGTAGACTCTGCCTAGTAGACTCTACCTAGTAGAGTGAATGTGGTGACACATTGCTTACCTATTTTACTAGAGTTATTTATGTATTTCCATATTTATGTTTTCATCATGGAGAAAAACACATTCTAGACTAAAAACAAAAGATGGTGAAAAATTCTGAGAAATGTCTGAATATATTATAATAAAATGGAGGATGAATTTCACTTCCTGCTGATTGCCCACAATATAAGGAAGTGAGAATCAGGTTATAATTAAGTAATAACCCCTGCCGAAGGCAGGTATACCACGAGATATTGCACAATTCACGACATGCCGCGAGTGCATATATGGAGTGAATTGTGCAATATCAATATACCCAACTTCGGCGGGGGGTTATTGCTATTATATTATACCAGTATATTGACAATTCGATAAAACTAGCAAAAAAAAGTTCATGATTATGGCCCTTGAATATGAATATTTATAAGAATAGTACACAGTTGTATGCAGAATGCATACAAAAATTACATGCGCAACACAGTTCAAATTGAATACAAACTAATTTTTATTCCGCATGAAAAAGAAACGTATCCACAGTGAATAGAGCAGCGTAAACACACAAATTAGCATAACAAAAGATGACCTTTCTTACCTTTTACTGACTGCGTCAACACGATTTGAAATACAGGGTCGTGTACAGTTTGGATCATTAAAACAACGGATTTTTCACGTTTTCATTCCGGTTTTTGTACAATTTCGATTGTAATTTGCCCATTGAAAGTACAGTTGTGAAATAAACCGATTTTGTGACTCATCATACTACTTGTAACTGTGGATATTTGACGTTCAGCAGTACGCGGTGTATCATGTACGGCGATCGGCACGGCGACCTCAGTTCCAACATCCAGTTTGCAATCCATCTCAAAGTCACAACATGGAGAACACAGCGTTCTGGCGTTCGTTTAGGCACCTCACGGTGTTGAAGGACGATGGTTTAGATTTGTGTGACCACAGTCCCTCAACGAAGGACTGTGGTGTGACGATCGACAATCACCCACCCAATGACCAACGCTCACTACTTGGATCCCACCATTAACAAAAAGCAATATTATGGTTGTATAACTTTTCAGATGTTTTTAATTCAGTATTTTTTTCAATTTTCTTCCAAAATTCAACCACTATATTTTCCTAAAAATCAAATAATACTGGTTTTATGTATTTCCTTATTAAACCCGTAGTCAATTCATGTTCCAGGGCCACTTGGTTTAGCCGTGCATTATCAGCCAATATACCATGGATTGCATATGCAAATTTTGTGTTTGCACCAATCAAATCAATGGATTAACACCATCAATATACTGGTATAATATAATAAGTCAATACAAACCTAGGTTCAATTTGTTACGGACAACATCAAAAGTTCAGTGTAGGATAAAAAACTTAATTCCTTTAGTTTCCATACCCGCCACCCCCACTGAAACTTAATTGATAAATATTGATCATGGCGTCTTACCAACTCGCACCCAAAAAACTCAGCCACCAAACCCTCAGTCGTTCAATAGGAAATAATGAAGGGGAATATACGTATGCGCAAACTACTTTTCTGGGTTCTGCGCATGCTCTAGGTCCATGCCCTGAAATTGACCTGATTTGACGCACATATTTACACTCGAACCAAACCATTTTCTCGTCTTGGATGTTTTGTTTTTCTTCATTTTCTGTTATCTTTGTCCATGATTGGATAGCAAAAAAACGAACTACAAATACTCCAAGATTTTTTTGACTTCATTAAAAAATAAAAGCGTTTTTGTAGGATGGAAACTTTTTGAGGGCAACCACCCCCACCCCACCCCCAAACTAAAGCAAATAATTTTTTTATCCGACATCGATTTTTTAACGTAACATAAAGAAAAATAACAAAAGTGCTGTTTTACATATATCATATTTTTTTAACCTTGTATGTAAACATTTTTTTGGTAATCAATATTGTTTTTGTGTTTTTCTTTACATTTTTTTAGAATAGTTATAATCTGTGTGCATGTTGTATAAATATGGCTATGCTTATAATAATAATCATGCAGGATTGTGTAAGGGAGACTGTACTATATATTAGATTTTTGTTGTGAAAATTATTGTCAACAAATAATTGAAATCAAAGCGAAAATTCTGTTCATAAACATAGACTTTCAAAAAGCATTTGATAAAATCTAGAGAGAATGACTTTTCTATAAATTACTTAATAATGCTATAAACAACGATAGAGTTAGACAGGGTTGTCATTGTGTCAATAGCTCAATGTCCAAAATAGGGACTTATAGTCTCTGTGCATGCATACGTCCAAAGCTTTCTCTTTGGACACCCCTGGGCCAATTCTCTTCTAACCCCGTACATACTTAATACCTTACCTGATTTATATATATATATACATAGGAAATTTTGTGATTCAGTCAAAGAGGCCGACTGGCGGCCATTTTTGTTGTGATATACACTAAAGTCAGGTATTTTGTCTTATTCAGTTCTTGGGCATGTGCTATTTTTGATTTTCTCCAAACTTGGTAGAAGGAGTAACCATTACTGATTAATGTATGTACGTAAAGCCCTACATAATGGTGAGAGCTTCATTGGTTCTATAACGATTTAGCGTCCAAATTGCAATTGGGTGCATTGTATGCAGAAAGCCTGGCTGCCAGATTAGTTGACTGTAAATGTTTGCAATTGAATACATATTTTTGTTTTCCCTTTTACTCACTTTTTCATTTATTTATGGTGAATCATCTGAGAACATAGCATATTCTTCTATTTTTTCTAAAATTGCACAACAAATCCATACAACATGCAATGTATTGTACATTGTCACAAGTGAGTACTGATCTCAAGAAATTGTTATGGTTCAGTTTATTTTGACAAATCATCTTTTTACATGTGAACATGCATTTGTTCCAATTCAAGATGACCGAATGATGGCCTTTTTAGTGTTTTTTTCAAACATAGACATCACACATTGTATTATACATGTGAACATGCATTTGTTCCAATTCAAGATGACCGATTGATGGCCTTTTTAGTGCTAAAAATTCATTCAAATTAAGCATTTCTGCCATTCCGGAACTAGATCTCACTCATGCATGGACACATTTCATTCAAACTATAATATTATTTATATGCTAGGAGCACTCTGATTGGCTAAACATTTCTGTATTTCAACTGTGGTTGACCACCACATATTAAAGTAGGCATTTTTATGATTCTATGTTTATGAAGTTAGTTAAAATAATCTATATTCATATCTTTAATCATCAATAAATGGAAAAATATTTCCAGCAGTTCACTGCCCTCACCACCCTGTCATAATAGACAATAGAGGGCGCTGTCTCACCTGAAGTAAAAATGATGACATGTTAAAATCCTGATTGTCAAGCTCTTTTTACCATTCTTAAAAGGAAAGTCAAGGCAAAAAGCTCCTGGATGAAAAAACAAATGCAATTTACAGTTTTCATATCACATTAATCAGCATAGAATAGTTAACTATCTTGATGCTCCAGCAAAGGATTGTGGGTAAATTGTGATATCATAGGCTTTTGTGAAAATTAAGAACATGATTTCATCTATAACTTGAAAAGTCAGACTTCAAATTGGTTGAAAGTTGACATGCCTTATATGGTCAGATCATTATTTGTTTATGGTTGCTGCATTAGACACTTCAAGGCTGATTGATTCCTTGTTAACTGCTAATTTGTTTTTTCACCCAAAAAAAGTAATTCTCTTCCTTGCCTCTATTTACAAATGTACTTTTTTTTCTCTTTATATCTGTTGTCTTGATGCATGCCCCTTAGCTATTCAGACTGTTAATTTTCTCGCAATGTATTCTCTCTCCACTGAGGTCAATAACATGAATCTGATAAATCATTGGTACATGAATTTTGTACCATCTTTCAAATTCATGTTCATTCTTTCTCAGTCATTAGTAAATTGAGATTTTTTTCCCATATTTATCAAAAAAGATGAATTAGTAAAATTTACAAATTAATATTTATATTGAAAAAGTTTTATCTTTCCTTTCTCAATTATGAATTTTACAAATATTTAAACAATCCAGTGAGAGATCTGATGTCTCATATAATGAGGTTATTACGAGGATTCCTCAAAGTATGCACGAAGACAGTACAGCTGGAGTATCGACTGACTCGCAGTGTGGAGTCCGGTCAAACTCTGGTCGCAGCCATGCTTGTTTTTATTATTAGAGGACGCTTATGCTCATAATCATTCCATATTTTGAATTCACATTTTCGAATATGGTAGGATGAAAATACCCTGTAAAATACCGCAAAGTTATGCCATGCTGTAACCTATGGCGTTACGGTGTCAGATGTATAATAATCCCATATATCATGTCTATTCGGTGTAATAAAGCATACTATGTAATAAAACTTATTAGGGCAATGAAGCATATTGAACTTTTGACATCATGGCTAAGTAGCAAAACCTACATAATATTTACACAATATTTCTTGAATTATTAAGAATTATATAAATTGAATATTTCTGGTAGTTTTAGTTGGCAGCTAAATCACACAAGTGATAAAAAGCCACATATATTTAAGACATCTTTTCAAATTCATCAACTTCTCCATGCACAGAAATTTGTTTTAACCATGTAAATTTTTTGAAATGACCCGTAATTAGTAATTATGTTACTAATTCATTGCAGAAAATCTTAATATAGGGATAACTTCAACAATAAAAAAAATGTCTTAATTGTAATAGATTAAGATGCCTTCTAAGTGCTCATTCATCGCGTGGTTAGATGTCACAAAATAAGATCACTATAGATAGTTATAGTTGGTTAGTTTTTATCCTTGCTCTGAATAATTGGATATTATAATAGAATATAAACAGAATACATGTATCAAAACCTTTCCATAGTCAATGTTCTTCCATAGCACTTTGTAGTCATAGTAACTTCTAATAGCATCCCAAATTACACTGAAGAGAAATGCTTATTGTTAAAGTTAGGTAATTATTCTCAGATAATCCCTCCCCCTCCAGAAGACCCTTCCTTCCTGTATCTGTATATGGTTTGCACCCTGAGGACTGTCCTCAATGCAATGTTGTTACCATAATCTGATAAGACGTATGGTTTCAAAGGTCATAAGCATCAAGCAGCGTAGCATCACATGAAAACTAATAGTGCAGTGCTCATGTCTTTACTAACATGCCGTAAAATGCCATGATCAAAGTTTGCAGAGTGAAAGAAATGTTCTTTAAATGGATTATTTTACTGATATATGTGGATCAGAATGTCTTACCACTTATCATGGTTAACGCTGATCCATATCTCAACTTGTGGAATAATTCATCTGAAAAAGATACATGTACATGGCGAACCCCCAAAGAGGAGGATTTAGTAAGATCAAATAACTGTTTTTGTGCTGTCTATATTTGTTTGTGATCTATTCTCAATTCCATTTATGGCTGTGAAGGATTGTTGTGTTTTTGTGTTCAGATTCACAGATATGATTAATGACGCTTATGATGTTGTATTTATGACATTGAATTGCTCTATGACCTTCTGTACTTCTTTACTGTAATAGTGACTTGTGAAATTTTTTACTTAATGGTATAGCAATTAATGATCATCTATGAAATTAATTAATATGAACATCATGAATTTTACCCCTGTACGTTAGTATCTTTGACATGGCTATCCTGTTCACATTCCAGCTTCACACATACATCATACAACTTAAGATATATTCATTTCACATTCCAATTTGTGATAGTGGAATGGTAGCCACTATAGTGTTAAAAACTCATCAATACCAAGCATTTCTGCAATCTTGGTCTTGTACTGATAAATTTTGTAAAAATATAATATGTATTTTTTTTTTAATTTGATTTAAAATGACTGACTGTTGGTTATTATGTTTTAATGAATGCTGTTCTTGTCATTTGGTATTTATAGTATGTGTACAATGTTTTTGTAGTGGACTCACACAGACTGCTATTGTCATGTTTGTTCATATTATTTTTATGGTACTTAGACGTGTTTAAAGGTTATGTGGTGTACACACATTGATAGACAACAGGTTGTTGCTTGTCAGCTTCATAATATATTCAACTAACCTCCCGAAGTAATTTATTCTGCTGAAAATTGTTCTCTATTTTATCGTATCAACATTTTGTGTGAGATCATTTTTCTAACATGCTTAACATTTTCTGCAGTAGCATTGGTCAATGATTGGCATACTTAGTTGTAATGACAAATCTGTCAGGAACATAGAAGCTGTTAAAATTTTGTTGATGTTTTCTCAACTTTGAATAATGAATGTAATATCTCACTTGACCCCATATTAAATCTGCCATGTTAGTGACACTTTTATAAAATTTACACAGGCATCTTGCAAGACTTTAGCAGAGATAAATTATTATGCCATCAAATGTTTAAATAAATAGTGAATTACAAGGTAGAAAAACATTTCTCTGTAAACTTCAATATAAAAGACTCTTAAAATAGTTGGTCCTACATTGCAGTGTTTTTCTGACAATTAGTCTGTCAAATTATGTTTACATTAACAAATGACTACTTAGTATGTTTGTGTTGCTCTATATTGGGCTTTCAAAACATAAGATAAATGGAGGTAGTGAATTATAAGGACGAAAATTATTTCTCTGTAAACTTCAATATATTATATTCTTAATGCAGTGTTTTCTAATAATTGCTGTTTCGGCATTTTGAAATGATGTACATATTTGCTTCATATAAAGAATACCCTTAACATCAAAAGTATATCTATATCAGTGACGTCATTCATTTGATATACCATGTAATCCCCATTTGGCAGGCAATATACCATGCAATCCATTTTTATTCAATGTCATGTGACATAGTCTCAGCCAATCACAGCACAGGTAACAACAGTGAGATGTAATAATTGTTTGTAGTAAATTCAAACATGCATTGTAAAATAAACACTAGCCTTGTGAGGTTTTTTTTCTAATTCCAATGTTTCTTCTTTTACAGATGAAAATACTTAGTTATGTACACATTATTGTAGCATCTTTAAGTATCATCGGTGCCAGTTCTATTATTGTATATTCTATATATAGAAATTCATGCACAACCCTTGATGTAAGTATTCAACTTCATCTGGGCTTTTCTCTGTGTTTCTAGTTCCTGAATAAATAAATATTAAAAAATAAATATTGTTTGTTAAACGTTAACAGATGTTGTGGTTGATAATCTTAATACAAAAAAAATTAAATCTGGCCAATGGAGATAACCCAAAGTCTGTTTCCATAAATCTGAATGGGTAAATGAGATATTACTAGCATTGTAGCTACGCATCACTTGTGGTGCTGTATATAGTGAGTGCATCTCTGCATACGGTATGTGTAGGTGTTTTTTTGTCTTAACTTTGCATACTGGTATATATCCTGTTTGCATAGTGGTGTGCTACTAATGGAGACTATATAGTCCTAATATCTTGGAATTCTTTTGCAGGTTAGACCATTGTTTCATTTATCAATAGCCGATTTGTGTTTGTCAATTTGCTGGGTTCTTGGTGCCACATTTTGGATTGTCTCATTCCAAAATGGACGAGTGAACTTTGATATTATGGAAGAATGTCCATACTTGCAAGCCGTCACACAGGTACAGTTCAATATGATAAAATAGATTCATTCTCTCGTCAAATACTGTAAAACATGTCTTTTACGTGAGCATGTCTTTTTAGCGAATTTAGCGAGAGAATTGGTTTGCTAATTCAAGATGTTGCTAATGACTTTATTATAAATTCAAAACGTCTTTTTTCTCCACACACACTTTGTAAACAACACAAAAAAAAACATACTGACATGATAGATACTATTTATTAAAAAGTTAATTAACACAAAAAAAAATAAACGTATCCTTTGTGGTAAATAAATGAAGTGATACGGATATATTATTGCGGAAATTAGGAGGTAAGTATGGGGGTCTAAAAACTAACTGCGACGCAATTGTGCGACTTGCTGAGTGTCGATTATTGCACTCTGCGACAGGATCGCAGTGTCACTCTGCGAAGATCACGATTCCTATTGGTTGGTGAGTCGAACAGCGTGAATCCCAATGATCGATCGATGTAAGGGTACACAGCATGCCTTATAGAAATGTTCAGTTTTAAATGGTTATTTCGCCGACTGCTCATGAACTACGGTAAACTAGTATTTACCGACGACATGCCGCACGGTTCGGTAATCAGCAAGTATTTAACATTGATTTATTAACATATATAACATCCGTCAGAACACATGCACGTTGGTGTTGGCTGCCTTATTACGGTGTAACATCAGGGAGCTGGTAACATTAACGCCATCTTGAAGTTGTAAGGCTTCGTCCGCAACTATGCTCATTAGCATAGGCGACAGCTTTAAAGCGAGTAGAGCGCGAAGTACGTTTCACACGATGTTACCTTCTTTTTTTGTCATTAGCAAGTAAAATTTATTATGACTATATTCATCACTTTGAATTCCCAAATAAAGCGTGTAGCGGGTCAAACTGTTTCTAGGCAATCAATATCATTTTATTAAGAATATTAAGAGAGAAAAAACGTAACGTAAAGCTGTGTGAATGGTTTGAAACAACTGCTGAAGATAGAAAACTAAAACGGCAGTGTCAACGGAAAATTAGATGGGTGCCCGCTCTCTGCATAAACGGAAACGATGGCTTTGTTTATTTGGCTGATGTCGACGAGCAACAGATTTCCTGTACTCACTTCCTCGTCTGATCACCGGCCCTCAACGGTCTCATGTATCGGTGTCGTCATCGGTTAAGTAGTTGAAACTCTTTCGCGTTGATGCGAATATTTCAGCCTAATCGTCCCCTTCGAACCACTCGCGAGGTTGGTCATAATATGACTTAGACATGCTTGCAATCTGTTGCGATTCCAATGAAAAATTCTTGAAAAATAAATATAAATTGCGTAAACGAGGGGTGAATGCGAAAAGTCCTGTAATTTTTCATCGGAATCACAACAGGCTGCAGGCAAGTCTAAATTGGTAAATATGACCCTGAGTTGCGGATTTTTCTTTGCCTCGTCTGTCATTGGCGTCTTTGCTTTCTTGCTTTTCATCGTCATTGCATTAGTAAGATGGTGTTATTAAAATAGAATATAGACTTAGAAAATAAAACGATTTCTCAGACGAATAATAATAATGCTGACAATGGACGTTAGATTAATATGCATTGTTTGCGACAGGAAGCTTGTCACCCATTCTATCAGAATCGTCAACAACAGAGTATTACCGGTAGTTAATGCTAAGAAACGACACTAGAGACCAAGTCTTGCCTGAGAGCAGAAGGGGTATGAGCCAAGGCCAAGCGTCGTCGCCGAAACCTGTTCCGTGATGTGAGTCGCAGATTTGATTCACATCACGGAGAGATTAGCATGGTACGTGATCGAGGCCAGTCAACGCAGGGGTCACCACCCGACCGTCGTTGCGGATACCATTTCCGTGCACAGAGTTGCATGTTTGACTCTATTCACGAAGAATGGCAGCGTGTTAATCGAGTGGTGCCCGCATGCACTGCGATGACAACCCCCCCTTAACTTTATTGAAACAATGTAGAAATGTAATACAGAATGATGCAGGATTGGAATGCTTAAATTATGAGGGTGGGTGGGATAGCTTGGAGACGGGTTCAGGTCGCTTGCTGAACGTAGAATGACTATGCTAAGGCAAAGCGGGATACAGGAAAGCTTGACGATTGCATGGCAAGTAGGATTAGGAAAATGATTGTCACGAGAGTATGAGCTTACAATATGCGTGTGAATGGAAATAGCACGGGCGAGGCGTGCACGGGATGGAAGGTCGCGTGCCTATGAATAGGGGCACACATTGATGTCATGTGCTCGGAGATTACGACTGGCGTGTGTTGCGCAAGTCCATGTGTTTGGGATTAAAACTGAGGTGTCGTTGCTGAGCATTAACACAGATTATGCTGACGCATAATCATACTATATACAATACATGTTATAAACATTATGCAAATATTAACGAAACGGTAGTAGTGTTAGCGTTTGAGCACTGATCTTTCCGAAATTTCAAAAAGCTGGGATGATGAATCAAGGTACAAAGTAACCGTTTTATCAATTATTGAAAAATCAAGAAAAAAAAAAATTCCCTTCCCGCTACATTAAGATCAATATGGACCACAAAAATTTGGCGTTCATTTAAAAAAATAAACCATAATTTTCAGTAATACTGACTTCGAAAATTATGATACAAAAATAATTACATTCATACCACAAAGCAACGCCGTTTTTGTTTACTTTTCACAACTGTTACAAAGAATTTCATTTCTGGTTAAAATACCAGCTAATAGTTTGAAGTCCGTTTATGATCTAAACGAAGGCAGACGATTGCAAACAACTGCTGTCATGGCAAAACGTTGCACATTGTGAATGATTTTTTTTTCACTGCATGCAAATTATTTTCCTTGATGCACTCGACAAAGTTAAAGCAGACGTACAACATTCGTTGCAGAACGCGTGAAAAGTACTTCACGTTCTACTCGCTTTGAAGCTGCCGCCTATGCTAATGAGCATAGTCGTCGGGACGAAGCCTTATACAACTCCAAGATGGCGATAACGTTACACCGTAAATAGGCAGTCAACACCAACGCACACGTTACACTATTTAACTTTTCTAGCCAGCGGTGTGATGTGTCTAATCACCGTAAACCATGTGTCATTTGTTTGGTCCCACAATTTGCCTTCCATGTGCTTGCCGATCACCGAACAGTGCGGCATGTCGCCGGTACATAGTGTTTACACACTTTTTTTTTTACCGTACCATTTTTACCATTTAAAACTTAATTTTTTATAAGGCATGCGGTGAAGATCGACCATTGGGATTCGCGCTGTTCGACCCACCAACCAATAGGAATCGTGCTCTTCGCAGAGTGACACTGCGATCCTGTCGCAGAGTGCAATAATCGACTTTTGGCGAGTCGCACAATCGTGTCACAGAGTTAGTTTTTAGACCCCCATACATACATGAAATTAGTAAGTATTTTTTGAGTCCCAATATAAAAAGTCAATGTTCTGCATGTAACCCAGCAACGATACCCGCTATTTCAGATCCTTGTTGAATCAGTTTTTTATCATTGCAAACAGAATCAAATTACACTTGACAGTTTTTCTTTGTTTTTATGCAGATGATGAACAGGAAATCAACAATTACAAGAGCGATTTGCTAAATCAACATTTCACTGTTACATAATTAGAATAGTTAGAATATCTGCAAAAATGTAATTTTGTTTTTGTAACAAATTGATATTTGTAATATTAATTTTAAGATTGTGTCAATTTGCTCAAATATTAACAACGAAATCATGAACAAATACAATAAAAACTTTGAACCAAATTTATGGCAGAAATTATGGTGCTCATAAATGATTAATGTATGTTATAGATAACTATGTCAATAAACAATATGGCAGATATGTCTATGATTGATGACAAACTCAGACTAAAATATCATTTATACAAACTGCAAACACCATTTTATGTTATGAGATACAAACATGATGCATCAAACAACATTTTGACCTGCAAAACAAATGATGTCACTAAGAATTATGGAAAATCTTGTTCTTGCACTGTATCGCGTTCTGTAAATGCGCTTATTTTTAAGGTTTAGTAGTCAGGATAGACAAAATAAAATAAAAGAAGTGTTATCTGTTTGCTGTTTTAATGATGAAATCTCCACTCCATCCATATTAATCCAGTAGTTTACCCTCATCATATAAATACTTGTCGACTTTACATGTATATTTGATGAAATCTCCACTCCATCCATATTAATCCAGTAGTTTACCCTCATCATATAAATACTTGTCGACTTTACATGTATATTTCTTCTCTTTTTCTCTCAGGCTTTTCACATTGCAACATTTTTTCTGACAGTAAATTATGCTTTAAATGTGTATATAAGAATAAAAGATAAACAGAACAGAGCCAATGATCTGAGGCCACTCATGGTGAGTTTGAATATATGATACTTCTACTGACTAGGATACATATTTATGGTTGATAAACTATATATTAAATGCTTCCATATTTAGTCTAGTCTAGTGTACTTTACTGATTCAAAATATGAATATTCATAAACAGCAAGTGACTAATTACATGGGTCAGTGAAAATCATGAGATTTTGTATTTATGATAATTTCACTTATTATGAAGACGTGACAAGTTTTACAAAACTCTGACCACATGAACATTATATAAACTATCCAATTCCTAGCAAACAACTGTTTGCAGGTATGTATCATTTATTGCTACAAAATACCACACATGATGAAAATAGTACATAGTTTAGATAGATTTGCTTCAGATTTGATCTTTTATTTACTTATTTTTTTTTAGGAATCATGGAAAATGGTTTGGGTGTTACGTAGTGTGTATATATTCGCTTGGTGAGTAGACATTATGGAAAATGTTTTGGGTGTTATGTAGTATGTATGTATTTGCATGGTGGGTAGAAATTATGGAAAATAGTTTAGGTGTTACATAGTATGTATGTATTCGCTTGGTGAGTAGAAATTATGGAAAATAGTTTGGGTGTTATGTAGTGTTTATGTATTCGCTTGGTGAGTAGAAATTATGGAAAATGGTTTGGATGTTACGTACTGTGTATGTATTCACATGGTGAGTAGAAATTATGGAAAATAGTTTGGGTGTTACGTAGTATGTATGTATTCGCTTGGTGAGTAGAAATTATGAAAAATAGTTTGGGTGTTACGTAGTATGTATGTATTTGCTTGGTGAGTAGAAATTATGGAAAATGGTTTGGGTGTTATGTAGTGTGTATGTATTTGCTTGGTGAGTAGAAATTATGGAAAATAGTTTGGGTGTTACGTAGTATTATGTATTCGCTTGGTGAGTAGAAATTATGGAAAATAGTTTGGGTGTTACGTAGTATGTATGTATTCGCTTGGTGAGTAGAAATTATGGAAAATGGTTTGGGTGTTACGTAGTATGTATGTATTCGCATGGTGGGTAGAAATTATGGAAAATAGTATGGGTGTTACGTAGTATGTATGTATTCGCATGGTGAGTAGAAATTATGGAAAATAGTTTGGGTGTTACGTAGTGTGTATGTATTCGCATGGTGAGTAGAAATTATGGAAAATAGTTTGGGTGTTACGTAGTGTGTATGTATTCGCATGGTGAGTAGAAATTATGGAAAATGGTTTGGGTGTTACGTAGTATGTATGTATTCGCATGGTGAGTAGAAATTATGGAAAATAGTTTGGGTGTTACGTAGTGTGTATGTATTTGCATGGTGAGTAGAAATTATGGAAAATAGTTTGGGTGTTACGTAGTATGTATGTATTCGCATGGTGAGTAGAAATTATGGAAAATGGTTTGGGTGTTACGTAGTATGTATGTATTCGCATGGTGAGTAGAAATTATGGAAAATAGTTTGGGTGTTATGTAGTATGTATGTATTTGCATGGTGGGTAGAAATTATGGAAAATGGTTTGCGTGTTATGTAGTATGTATGTATTTGCATGGTAAGTAGAAATTATGGAAAATAGTTTGGGTGTTATGTAGTATGTATGTATTTGCATGGTGGGTAGAAATTATGGAAAATAGTTTGGGTGTTATGTAGTGTGTATGTATTTGCATGGTGGGTAGAAATTATGGAAAATAGTTTGGGTGTTATGTAGTGTGTATGTATTTGCATGGTGGGTAGAAATTATGGAAAATGGTTTGCGTGTTATGTAGTGTGTATGTATTTGCATGGTGGGTAGAAATTATGGAAAATGGTTTGCGTGTTATGTAGTATGTATGTATTTGCATGGTAAGTAGAAATTATGGAAAATGGTTTGCGTGTTATGTAGTATGTATGTATTTGCTTGGTGAGTAGAAATTATGGAAAATAGTTTGGGTGTTACGTAGTGTGTATGTATTTGCATGGTGAGTAGAAATTATGGAAAATAGTTTGGGTGTTATGTAGTATGTATGTATTTGCTTGGTGAGTAGAAATTATGGAAAATAGTTTGGGTGTTACGTAGTGTGTATGTATTTGCATGGTGAGTAGAAATTATGGAAAATAGTTTGGGTGTTACGTAGTATGTGTGTATTTGCATGGTGAGTAGAAATTATGGAAAATAGTTTGGGTGTTACGTAGTGTGTATGTATTTGCATGGTGAGTAGAAATTATGGAAAATAGTTTGGTTGTTACGTAGTGTGTATGTATTTGCATGGTGAGTAGAAATTATGGAAAATAGTTTGGGTGTTACGTAGTATGTGTGTATTTGCATGGTGAGTAGAAATTATGGAAAATAGTTTGGGTGTTACGTAGTGTGTATGTATTTGCATGGTGAGTAGAAATTATGGAAAATAGTTTGGTTGTTACGTAGTATGTGTGTATTTGCATGGTGAGTAGAAATCATGGAAAATAGTTTGGGTGTTATGTAGTATGTATGTATTTGCATGGTGAGTAGAAATCATGGAAAATAGTTTGGGCGTTACGCAGTATGTGTGTATTTGCATGGTGGGTAGAAATTATGGAAAATAGTTTGGGTGTTATGGATGTATGGTATTCATGTTCATTTGTTTCTATTTTATACAGGTTAGCACCAATTGCATTAATGGTACCTGTCGTTTATTTGAATATAAAAAGTGATGAACCAGATGATAATGATTGTGGAAAGAGGTATTTAAAACTTTAGTATTGTAACACCTCATTCAGTATTTTGACACTTGATTTCACTAAATATCAAATATCCTGTAAAGATCATCTTCCGAATTGCACGGTCCCATGTCATCGACCTATAGGCCTCTACACGATACCGTGCGGGATCGCATAGGCTAAATGCGTATCTTTAAGCAGCGAAATCTGATTAGGCGCACCTTGAAACAAGGCGCCCAATCAGCTTGGATGTACCAAATTATAACATAAAATTCCACGTCCTGTTTTTGTCGCTATGAAGACATCCTTCCCACACAAAACTGCGTCGATTGCCTGTACCTGATGAGGCTTGAGGGCACCAACACCGAAAACTTTCGCAATTTTATCATCACAAATATCACGATTCATGGGTGCCACCATTTTGTTTAAAATGAAATGCCAAAGAGGGATTTGTAACATGCAAACTGATTGGACAATGATTAGCAACAACTGACTACTGGGGTGCTGTTAGAATATGCATATTTGATGGTAGTTCTGCCAAGGTCTGTTTAGAGGCTTGGCTGAATAAACTTAGACCTTGGCTAGCGAAGATGTGTAAAGACTAGCTGCTGCATTTTCTTGTGAGACATAAAACAATTTTTATTTCTTTGCAGGTGTTTGTTATTTATATCTAAACCTAGCTGTAATGTGGTAAGTGTTCTGTATAACGACCATACTCCATGGTTGTTACTTATGAGTTACTCCAACATTTTCATCTATGAGTATTTTTGGTACCAGAACCATCTAGATCACCCCCAATGTTCTGTACTCTGTACTCCTGCATTAGTGAAAAAGAAATGCTTGTATTGATTTGCATACCGTATTACCCCGGGCAAGCGCCCCTCCCTGGGCAAGCGCCCACCCCCCTGTTTTCACAAAAGTTACATGTTGGGGACATCCTCGGTTAAATGCCCAGGGTGATTTTTAGCCAAGAACGGGGTCAACAATAAAGTTGTATTTGTCAAAAATGAACGAATTTGATTTATTTAAATAGTGTGTTTGTTACGGTAGTTCTCTTTTTGGAGTGTGTGGTGGCCCAGAAAAGGGCCGTTTTGTTTGTGTTTTTACGTAAAAACTCGTTGGAACTTAACGATGTAAGATGAACCACGCAGCATGTGGCGCACACGTTCTGCTTTCTCTTCATTCACGATGAATCCAATATTGCGATAATCCATACCTTGGTAAGTGGTTTAAAGCACTTAGCTTTGGTTTCAAAACGTAGCACTTCGCTGACTGTGAATCCATAACGGAAGCACAGTCAGCTGGCATTGGTGTCGCTGGGTGTATTTGATAAAGGGATGTTGTTCAACCAAATTTGCCGAGTTCGCAGTTTTTCGCCAATAAAAAAATAACTAAGGCAAAAACTCACGGTTTTTCAGCATTTTTGTAATAAAGAAATTATTCTCTATCAATAATCCGCCCAAAACAGGAACATTTCTACTAATTCTTGTGTTTTTTCGACGTTTTTGGAAAAACCTGCGATTAGGCTGCGAAAGTAGAACATTCTGGAGGGGATGAAACGGAAGAACCAAACTTAACGCCTAAAAATAGAACGCGTATTTTGACCTCTACGTGGCCAACCAATGGCTGGACACGGATACGTTTGTGGTCGCTGC